CACACACACACACACACACACAACACACGCACGCACGCACGCACGCACACACACACACACACGCACACACACACACACACACACACGCACACACACACAAACACATGCACGCACACACTCAGACACATGCACGCACACACACACACACGTGCATGATTCCTCCTCCTCCTCTTCCTGTGAGCCTCTCTCTCCCTTCTACACTTAGTCTAGTTGGTCTCATCACCCATCCACAACCACCTTCTATTTCTAAGCTAGCTCCGATAAACGGTTAGCGGTGTAGTACATATTGACACATCACTAACAATAAACCCACACAGACCTACCTATTCCTAACAATAATTCTACATAAAACCTACCTGTCCCCCACAATACTCCCACACAAACTAATCCACTCCCTTCCACCCTCACACCAGTTTGTCTTCCTTCTCCTTCATAACCCTTCCCTCCCCAGGTCTGTCCTTCCTCGCAATCTCGGTATGGCAGCAACCCCCACCACCACCACCCACATACAATAGCTTGGCCATTCACCCCTTTTACTGAGAGCCGCTTATCTTGCTGATGCTACACCATACACACACACACACACACGCACACGTACACGTACACACACACGCACACACACACACACACACNTGTCGCGTGGTTGGCCGAATCCAGCCCTCACTCGAACACTTCGATACCGTACGTATTCGCCTTTAAGAAGGTGACTATAAAGGAATCTTGACTTGTTTTACGCCTATAGCCGCGGACGCCGCTGTTTATTGCTACAATATTTCATCAGATTGCCGAACTCTCATTCGAAGCTCGCGCTGTCACGCAATATAACACAAACTTTAGTTATAAAACAAATTAAATACACTGCAGTTACACAAAGCTAAACAATCGCCCTTAACTAGCCGCACAGTATCAATTTCGTAAAACCTTAAAAATACAATATTTCATACCTTTCACTGGCAAACACAAGCTCCCAATCCTTTAAACGCCCACACTCAACGTACGAATTTCAGCGAGAGAAAAACACTAGTTATACACACACATATATGATAGTATATATACAGCTATACCGCTCAGCTGCGCAGCCCAATCACAAACAAACAAACCTCTACCGGATGACAGAAAGAAGCCATATGTTCCAGCTACGTCACTTGAGACACAAACGCGTGCGCAAAACATTTAGCGCGTTTCTCTACACATTGCTGCCTGCATGAGGGTATGATTGCATGTGCATGATGCTCATGATTGCTTGCATGAATGTGCAGCATGCTATCTGATTGATGTGCATGATTGATTTTGTCATAAATGCTGCATGATGTGCTATGATTGGAGTGCATGCATGCTGCCAGATCAGTGCATGATGCCCATGATTGCATTGCTGATATGTGCATGATTGTAGTGCCATGAATGTGTGTGACCGGTGCCTTACCATTAATAATTTTAAACACATTGAATAATGAAGACGTTGTTGTACTCGTTGAAACAGTCTGATTATATATATATATATATTCAATCGCTGGAGAGATTCACATTGCCACGAAATCACGCCGCCCCATTTGCACTGTTTACCCCAAACATGAAGCGCCCCTAGCGGGCGATACCGCAAATTAGAATCGCGCTACACCCGCTTAAATAGCCGCCAAACAATGTGAGCCAATTGATTGATGGCAGCATTGATGTCATGTGGCATGATGTTGCATGATTGATTTGCCAGTGATGGTGCATGATGTGCATGATTGTAAGTTGCATTGATGGCATGCATTGATGTGCATTGATGTGCCATGATTGTTTGCATAATGTGCATGCAGTTGTAAGGCATAGATGTGCATGATTGATTTGCATAATGTGCCATGATGCTGCATGATTGCTAGTGCATGATGTAGCATGATGTGCCATGTATGTTGCATGATGTGCCATGAATTGATTATTGCATGATGCTGCAGCCGATTGTAGCCTACATTGCATGCCTGCATGATTGAATGTGCCCATTGATCGTGTCATGAGTGATTTGCATAATGTGCTATGAGCTGCCATGATTGTATTGCATGATGTGCATGATTGTATTGCCATGACGTGATGTTGATGTGCATGATGTGCATGACACTCGGGCATGATTGGTAGACTGCCCCATGATGTGCCATCATTTGAGCTGTGCATGATCATGTGCATGATGTGCCACGTGATTGATGTGCATGATGGCATGATTGATTTTCATAAGTGTGCCATGATCGGTGCCATCGATGTATATGCATGCATTGTGAATGATGATGTGCATGATGTAAAAAATTCAACTGCCATGATGGGCATGATTGATATGCATGATGTGCATGATTGATCGTGCAGTGTGATTGATTTGCATTCACATCATGCCACTATCTATGCAAATCAATTCACATGCACATCGATGCCACATTAGATCATGCACATCACTGCAACTACTAATCGATGCACTTATCCATGGCCACATTATGACAATCAATCCGATGCCCCACATCATGCCCGCACGATCAAATCATGGACACTCAGTGCACATCAAATGCCGGATTGTGGCAGCATCGGGATGCACTACAAATCGTAGCACATCTGAGCACATCATGCACATCTAAATAATGGCACATCATGCACATCAATCTATGGCACATCATGCGACTACAATTATGCACATTAGCGAAAATCGAATCGATGCACATCATGCCACATCAATCATGCCACCATCCATTGCAACATCAATCATACCACATCATGCCACATGCCAATCATGCACATCATAGCCACATCATGCAAATCAATCATGTATCATCATGCACCATCAAATCGATTAAACATCGATGCCACATCATGGCCCACATCGAGGAGTTCCATGGCATATCATGCCCCACTTACAATCGAATGCCCACATCATGCCCCACATCCATGCAAATCAATCTATAGCACATCGATCCGCACATTCAATCCATGCCACATCATGCCCACTACAAGTCTATGCCACATCATGCTACGATCATGGCAAATGCAATCATGCCACAGTCCATGCCACAATCAATCGATGCACATCATGCCCCACTACGAATCATGCACATCATGCAAATCAATCACCGCACCATCTGATGCCCCCCCACATCAATCGGATGCACATATCAGGCACTACAACGTCGATGCCACATCATGCACATTATTGCAAATC